AACCGGGGCCCTCTGGCATCCCAAGCCAATTCTTAACCAACAACCAACACGCGCCACTCGGCCCGCCCTTTTTCTTTTTTCTTTTTTAGACAAAGATAAAACCAGATTCTTTTTTTTTATTTTATTTTTTTTATTTTATTGGGTAACAGTGTGTTTTTTCCAGGACCCATCAGCTCCAAGTCAAGTCGTTGTCCTTCAATCTAGTTGTGGAGGGCACAGTTCAGCTCCAAGTCCAGTCACTGTTTTCAATCTAGTGGTGGGGCCACAGCCCACCATCCCTTGCAGGAATCAAACCAGCAACCTTGTTGTTCAGAGCATGCACTCTAACCAACTGAGCCACCCAGCCACCCCAGAGTTGATTTTTTTCCAGCACCTTTCTTCTTAGCCTTCTTCTCCCTGTGTCTTCACATGGTCTTCTCTGTGTGTGATTGTGTCTTAATTTCCTCTTCTTATAAGGATATCAGTCATACTGGATTAGGGTCCACCCTAATTATCTCCTTTTTACTTAATTATCTCCTTTAAGACTATATCTTCAAATACAGTCATGTTCTGAAGTTAGGACTAGGGGTTAGGACTTTAACATATGGATATTGGGGAATACCATTTAGCCCCTAATACGTATGTGTTATACTAGGAACTCTTTCTTCGGAGGGAGAGTTCAGCCTTTTGACTTTGGTCCATCCCATGCCCCTCCTAGGTGAGCCTGCCCACGGCAGAGATTGATTGCAGCCTAGCAAAGTACATTGACATGATCTGCGGTAAGCTCTTTCATCCCTTCCTTGTCTCTGTCTCTGGATAAACACACTGTGGGCTTTTGAAAAGCTTTGTTTACTCTGGGAAGACAGCATCCTAAGTTACAGCCTTCTCTGTAAGCCAGTTGTGCTATTGGCAGCACTCAAGGGTGGCATTTGGGCTTATGTGACTTATTTGCCTGGTATTTTACCCCCAGGGCCATAGTAACACATCCCATCTGGGAGGGGATTGGCTATCCTAAACAGAAATGCTCCATAAGTCCTGGATTTTTGTTTGGTTCTGCTCATGGGAGTTCTTGATTTCAGCCATCCTAGACATCCCTATCTACAAAAGTCGGATTCAGTCCCTCCACTTGCTCTTTTCCCTCTACTCGGAATTCAAGAACTCACAGGTAAGACTAACATTAGAGATTGACATAAGCTGTAGTGAGGGTGGCTGCAGTCTCCACTGTTCTGAGTCTGTTGTGATTGTGTCCTATGACAGTGGGGATGTCTCTGTCTCGAGTTGCCATTACCCTTCTCTGTAATTAAGAGAACTGCAAAACAGGCAGGGGTAGAGCTTTTAAAGGAAGGGAAAGTAGAGGTGATGTGGGCTTTTAGACAAGGTTAGGTAAGGATCTACAGAGGACACTCATTCTTACAGGATAACCAAGTGGCTTAATGAATGTAAGCAGGAAGGAAGGAGTAAAGGGGCTCATTTTTGAAGGAGGTGGGGCAAATTTCTAGCTGTTTTTCAAAGACAACACCAAAGAATTGTTTGGGAAGTGAAATTGGGAGAAAATTGGAGCTTAAAGTGTTGTAAAGAGGTTAGTCTTTGCTAAAATGTAGCACCTAGCATATCCCAGATACTCCATGCTCCCTCTCCTCTTTCCTCACAGCATTTTAAAGCTCTAGCTGAAAGCAAGAAAGCATTCACCCCTCCATCCAACTCTACCTCCCAAGCTGGAGATGCAGAGACTTTAACCTTCAGCTGAGACACCTCCCAGGTCACTTCACTCTGTTTCAAGGCTGAGCAGCCTCCTCTATCTCAGCTGAGAAGAAGAGATTGTTATCAGCCACCTGATGTCCTTGCCTGTGACACAGCTTGTCCTACTACCCTCTCTGCCAGAAAGCACTGCACGTCTTTGTTAAATGACTTCTGCCTGTCCTGATTTCCTTCCCATGGGAATTGTGCATCTCTGCCACTGGGCACTTGAGTTAGAAGAATTGGATTTCTGGGATCCCAGTATGCTCAAGTTAGGAGGAAACTTTAAAAGATGTTCTTTTTCAGGTAGCAATGGAATTATTTTCTTTCATTCTTAAAATTAGTTGGCAAAGATTTTACAAATAAAATACTCATATCTTTGAGGTTATCCTGCTGTTCTTTTTTTTGGGGGGGGGGGTAATAAGCAGTATATAATCTAGCTTCTTTAATTTTATGTACATGAATATAATATATATCAACTTTGTACATGAGATACATACAGTATTTAAACATTTTATTCAACAGATGAGAATTTACAATATAACTGATTAGGAAGCTGTCCATTTAATCTATACTTAGATTAGATCTGTACTTTAACAGGAAAATAATCTAATAGTTTACAATCATAGAAACACTGACATTTAAAACAAGACTATAAAATAATTTACATATATCCTAGAATCTATAGAGAGGAATGATTTGCATTTTGTGGCTGTATGCAATGAATGGCATATTTAAAATATTTAGATAATAAAATATTTTAGAAGCAGTTCATGCAGTGGTCAAAGCAAGGGATGGCCGTTCCTTCAAGATGTCTTCTGTCTTCAACATCAGTAGACATCAGACGCACACTAGGGCAGTACCATAGGAGCACACTAGAACAAGTCTCCAACAATTACACAAGTTGGCATCCTTTCTTCCACAGTACAAGTACAGGTCACAACTTCTCTCAGCTGTGGGAATAGTCAGTTTACACTTAAAGTGATTTACTGTCTGTCCTGGAGTTCTGTGTAATATATCTCTATACCAGGTAACTAACAGAACTTCCTGGTTTTCACAACTTTACTCTGATACTTCAGAATGCTGCCCATGTCCTGTGATATAAACATCCAACGTATCCTGCTCTTCTATAAAATGAAAGAGGAAAGGCAGACTGAGCATAATGCAGAGAGAAGGAACTTGGCCTAGTAATAGACATTAAGTGAATAGCAGTTTAAGCAAATCAACTTTGTGAAACAAAATCAAACACAAGTCCTCCAAGATTGGCAGTAGAGGGGAATCATTTTTCTCCTGGAACTTGTTTTTTCTGGGGGTCTCTCACCAGTTAATGCTGCCTGCCTTACAGGCTCCTTTTCTGGCTAGCTGCAAACTTGCCTGGTTGTGATCTCAGGAAGCCTAGATATTGCAGTAATCAAGGTGAGAGAGAACCGTGCCTTGGATTAGGGTAGGAGTTGAGTTAGTAATAGAGATGGACAGATTCGGGAAACATTTTGGAGGTTATATCAGCCAAGCTCCAGTCAGGAAGTCAGAAACTATGCTAGATACTTCAAGAAAGGGTGTTAAATATGGGAAATTGTTTACAAAAGTGTTGGAAGGGCTGAAGAAACAAAAGAGAATGAAGGGTGCTGAAGGAATGAAAGATTAAAGGGGTGGTATCCACTGTGGGTGCTGGAAGCAAAAGGGGTGCTACAGTGGTCTTGAATGGCTGAGGAGGCTCTGCTGAGGTATGCAGACCCTCACTCCCACTACTAGAGCACCTGAGAGTGATGGCTGCCACGTCCTCTCTCTCACCTCGTATCTTGCTGGTACCTCCCATTGGCAGAAATCAACAGCTGGCAAGGGAATCTGGAAAATCCAGTGAAATAAACCAGAGTATAGAAGGGAGGGTGTGGGGCTGACAGACAACAGATAATTAACCAGTAGCGGTAGAACCAACAAAACTTGATGATAGATTGGATGTCGGGGATGGAAGGAAAGAAATCAAGGATGACTCCCAGGTTTTTTGGCTTGAGGAACTCAATGGATAACGGAGCCAAGTAATCATATGGGATGAAAGTGAGGCAAGAATTGAGTAAAAGGTAACATTACATTAAAATGCTACACCGTCAGCCTAAGATATACACCATCAACATGTAGACAGGAGGGGAATCGTTCCTTACAGACGCTTAAATCAATTATGATGTTCACATTATGCTTCAGTTTGAGGAGCAGGAACATTTGAGCCTCAGGTCTTACTCTGAGACCACATTGGGACTAGGTGCTCTACTCTCAAATGCATCCCATCAATGCTCACATTTAACTCATAAGGAAAAAGGAGGCAAAATGTGATAAGTACTCAAATTCTCCATTAGGTTTTCAGGGAACAATCAGAGTGACTTCTTTGGCTGGAACTGAGACTCAGCATTAATAAATATAGTAGATTCTTGTTAGTCACTGTAGCTATGTTCTATAAAGTCACTGTGAACACTGAATTAGCAAATACTGAACCATTGCTCCTAGGGGAAATACAAGGTTAGAGTCTTGTGTGCCTCTGGTCATAACATTTTTGTCAATAAACCTTGATTCATTGAACTCACAGCCACCAGCACTATAAATCATGCTGCAGTGAGGCTTATCTAACACACTCTCCATAAGGCACCTCACAGCCTTGTTAGACTTAGGAACACCAGACAGCACCTCGGCACTCTCATTGGGGGCCATGTTAAACAGTGAAATCACCACCAACAAGCAAGAAACATGGCATTAAATAGACCTTGAAAAGGGCACTTCTTTACAGCATGACAGCTGAAGCCAGTGGGCAGAATGTCACCTTATTCAGCCTCTGCTTGGAAGGTAGGTGTTGGGCAACTCTAATTTTTCACGGCTCTGAGCACGGTTGCAAATGCGCGTGAAAACACTGCCAGTATTGATTTTTGGATTACAAACAAGTTTTCTTGAGCAAGTGAATTCAGAAATATGGAACCTGCAAATAATGAGGATCAATTGTACTTTCTGCCCAAGTTACTGTTTAATGTGTGGGCCTTTATGCTTTTCTCCCTACGTCAGCACATCCACCGTAACGCTCCAGTGATCATCCTCAGATGGTTTTCATCATGAGCTCCTCTCTCCTCTTCAGTAATCTGTAGTTACCCCCTGTTGGCTAGTTGTTCTAAGGCCTGAGGAAAGATCAGTTAACTTCTATGCCTCAGTTAATGTAGCTATGAATCAGTTATAATAAACAATAACTTCACTCTTAGGCTTGTCTTGTGGGTAAAAACGTGTAAACATTAAGTGCCACAAAATGTGAGCTATAATAATTATATTACTAAGTATACATTTTCAACTTGGCCTTTTAAGACTTTCCATTTGGCTACTCTTTACCTACCCCAAAGTCCTTATTTTCCATCATTCCCAAATGTGAACTGCAAAACAAATATGCTTGCTGTGCTCTACATATGACTCACGAGTTCCCTCTTCTAACTAAACCTTTATGCAGGCTCTTTTCCTTGCTTGAGTGTCCTTCATTCACCTCTGCTGATCCCAGGTTCTCAACACTTCTAAATAAGTAAATATGAAACACAAGTATTTGCATCTTCCTTATTTACTACAACCTTATTTACTAAAGTGACAGTATTGGAATAAAAAAAAAGATATAAATCAGCAAGGACAGGTAGACAGTAAGAAAGAAAATGAAGATAAGCTAGATAGCAAAATTTTAGAAGATAGACAAATGGTAACTGATTTAGTGTGTGTGGGGAAGCCTGTAATTTGACTGCCTATGAAGGAGAGGAACAGAGAAGCTGATAAGAAGTAAGCTATTTGGGCCGGCCGAGTGGCTCAGTTGATTAAGAGTTAGCTTGAGAGCACAAGGTCTGAGCAACAGGGCCGCCGGTTTGATTCCCACATGGGCCAGTGACACTGCACCCTCTACAGCTAAGATTGTGAACAACAGCTTGACCTGGAGCTGGGCTGCCGTGAGTGGCCGGTGATGGCATAGGCTGCAGTGGGCTCCTGTGGGCTGCCGTGAGCTACCATGAGTGGCCGGCAGCCAGTGTGAGTGGGCCGGCAGCTGGTGAGAGAGCTGCCGTGAGCCGCCGTGAGCGGCTGTCCAATGTCTGGTGACCGACTGCCTCAGCCGGGAAGAGCGCAGTGATCATAATACCAACCTGGGCCAGTGAAGCAGCGCCCTCCACAACTAGACTGAAGAACAAAAGGACAAAAAGTTGGCTGCCTCCCTTTCCCAACTCCCCAACACTGTTCCTCTCCTCCCAATTCTCCAATAAAATCTTAAAAACTTGGACTTGATTTGGACTGATGGAACTTTTTTGGTCGTGGAGAATTGGCTGACTTCCATTGTGCACTTTGACGCTTTGTTTCAGGGTCATATTGGTACACCCATGTTTCATCACCAGTGATAACACGGCCCAAAACATCATCTTGCCTCTCCAAAAGGTCTTGGCAAACTTTGACTCTCCTTTGCTTTTGTTCATCAGTGAGCTTCTACGAGACCATTTTTGCACACACCTTTCTCATGCCAAGATTTTCAGTTAAGATTTTCCTGTTTCTTTATCGATGTTTACTTGGTCTGCTATGCTTCTCACAGTCAGCCGATGATTTTGATGCACAATTCAATGAATTTTTGCAATGTTTTCATCAGTTCTGCTTGTTACTGGCCGCCCTGGCCTCTCTTCATCAGTGACACATTCTCTCCCCTCAGAAAAACATTTAATCCATTTGTACACTGCCATTTTCTTCATGGCATTATCCTTATAGATTTAGAGTAACATGTCCTTGATTTCACTTCCACTCTTGCCAAGTTTAACAAGAAGTTTAATGTTTGTTTGTTGCTCTAATTCAAGCTCAGACATCCTCACGACGGCACACAATAACACGCAACAACAATAATGAATGCCGCTCAGCAAGACACCACCACACACCGACATGAACACAGCTGTGAGACACTGATATAACAAAGTTATGAAACTTTACTGAGCTGTTTGTACAGTGTTGCCAATGTAAGCACATGGTGGCAAGCTCGTGAACTTAATGGTCAGACCTCGTATTTTTGATGGCATGTGTGCAGGGTGGGGCTGAAAACAGAAGGATTGGTTGAAGGTTTGTAGAAAGATTGGATCCCCAGAAACGTCCCCATCTATGATGCCCACCTCCTTACCCCAACAGAAGATAGTTACCTTTGAACCAAGGAGGCTCTGGACATGATACCAAGTAACTATGAGGACAGGAATAAGGGGCCATATTTAAAATAAGAGGATATATTAAGGAATGAGCAGTGAGATCCTCAGCCCTCTTTCAGGCTTATACCTCCAAAGCAGATATTAGAAGAGTCTTCTCTTGGGAAATTGATCAGCCAAAGAGAAAAGACCTACAGATACTGACAGTCTTTAAGCAAATATCCAGGTCCCTACCTACCCATCAACTTCCAATCAGCTTTCTGGTATCTCATTCTTGTGTGTGTGCATGCATGCATGTTTGCAACTCTCATTCTTTCTTAAATATGAACATACAGAGATCACCAGACATTTGAAGAAAGCCAGAGAAATAGAGACTAAGACTGAAAGAACAAAATAAATCAGAGAAACAAAGCAGGTAAAAATTTAAAAATGAAATATAATATTCATAGAGCAGTAGTTCTCAAACTTGGTTGCACATTAGAATCAACAGGAGATTTTTTTTAACCCTATCTTCCACCTCTTCCCCTTTGGCAACCATCAACTTATTCTCTGTATCTATGGGTATTTTTCTGTTTTGGTTTATTTATTTTGTTTTTTTAGATTCCACATATAAGTGAGATCATATGTTTATTGTCTTTCTCTGACTTATCTCACTTAGCATAATACCCCCTAGGTCCATTCATGTTGTCTCAAATAGCGAGATTTAATTCTTTTTTAAGGCTGAGTAATATTCCACTGTATACATTTACCACATCTTTTCTTTTCTTTTTTAAAATTGTATTGGGGAACAGTGTGTTTTCAGCTCCAAGTCAAGTTGTTTTCCTTAAATCTTAGTTGTGGAGGGTGAAGCTCAGCTCCAAATCCGGTCACTGTTTTCAATCTAGTTGCGGGGAGGGTGGGGTGGAGGTGGGCGGGGAGGGGTGCAGCCCACCATCTCATGCGGGAGTTGAACCATCAACCTTGTTGTTAAGAGCACACGCTCTAACCAATGGAGCCATCCGGCTGCCCACTGGCAGCTCAGCTAAAGTTGTTGTTTTCAATTTAGTTGTGGAGGGCACAGCTCACTGGCCCATGTGGGAATCAAACCAGCAACCCTGTTGCTTCAGAGCTCATGCTCTAACCAACTGAGCCACCAGGTCACTCCACGTGGGACATTTTCTGGGATAGAACACATATTAGGTCACAAATCAAGTCTCAGTAGATTTAAAAAGACAGATATACAAAGTATCTTCTCAGACCACAATGAAATGAAATCAACAGAAGGAAAACTCAAATATCCACAAATTCATGGAAATTAAACAATACACTCTTCACCAATGGGTCAAAGAAGAAAACACAAGGGAAATTAGAAAATACTTAGGGATAAATGAAAACAAAAATACAACATACCCAAAAGTATAGGATGCAGCGAAAGCAGAGCTTAGAGGGAAATTCAGAGCTACAAATGTGTACATTTTTTTTAAAAAAAGGTCTCAACTAAACAATCTAACTTTACAACCTTAGGAACTAGAAAAAGGACAAACAACCCAAAGTTAGTAGAGAAATGAAATATTAAAGATTAGAGCAAATGAAAATAAAATAGGTATCAGAAAAACAATAAAGAAAATTGACAAAACCAAAAGTTGGTTCTTCAAAACGATTAACAAAACCGCAAAGCCTTCATCCAAGTTGTCTAAGAAAAAAAAAAGAAAACTCAAACAACTAAAATCAGAAATGAAAGTGTGGGGCCAGCTGAGTGGCTCATTGGTTAAGAGTTGGCTTGGTTGTGTGAGCTCTGAGCAGCAGGGTCGCCAGTTCGGATCCCACATGGGCCAGTGATGCTGCGCCTTCTACAGCTAAGATGGTGAACAACAGCTCGAACTGGAGCTGGGCTGCCGTGAGACTCTGGCGATGGTGTAGGCTGCAATGGGGCTGCAGTGGGCTGCTGTGAGCTACCGTGAGTGGCCTGCAGCCAGAGTGAGTGGCCGGCAGCTGGTGTGAGCTGCCGTGAGCCGCTGTGAGTGGCTGTTCAATGGCCGGCGACCCATCTGCCTCACCCGGGAAGAGCATAGTGATCATAATACCAACATGAGCCAGTGAAGCAGTATCCTCCACAACTAGACTGAAGAACCAAAGGACAGCAACTTGTCTGTTCCCCTTCCCTGATTTCCCAACACTGTTCCCTTACCCCAATTCCCCAATAAAATCTTTAAAAAAAAACAGAAAAGAAAAAAAAAAAAGAAAGTGGGGATATTACTACCAGTTCTGCAGAAATAAAAAGGATTAGAGAGTATATGAACAATTGTAGCCAACAAATTGGATAACCTAGATAAGACGACAAATTCCTAGAAACACAAAACCTACCAAGACTGATGAAGTAGAAATTTGAAAGACCTGTAAGTAGTAAGGAGATTGAATCAGTAATCAAAATTTAAAAACAAAGTAAAATATACATAAAATGAAATTTACCATTTGACCACTTTTAAGTGTACAGTGCAGTGGCATTAAGTACGTTTACACTGATGTGCAACCATCACCACTATCCAGCTTCAGAACTTTTTTGTTATCCTAAATTGAAACTGTAGCTATTAAACAATAACTCCTGCCTCTCCCTACCCCTCCATCCAGCTCCTGACAACTTCTATCTTCTGTCTCCAGAATTTGCCTATTCTAGGTACCACATAAATGGAATCATACAAGATTTGTCTTTTGGTATCTGGCTTATTTCACTTTGCATAATGTTGTCAGGTTCATCCATGTTGCAGCATATGTCAGAATTTCTTTGTTTTTTATTTTTATTTTATTTTAAAAAATATTTTATTGGGGAATTGGGGGAGAACAGTGTTGGGGAATTGGAGAAGACCAGCCAGGTTGTTGTTCTTCAATCTTTGTTGTGGAGGGCGCCAGTTGCCATCTGGCTTCCTGTCGGCAGCTTGTGGTCTCTAAACTCAAGGTGCTGTGTTACAATCTTAGTTGCAGGTGGGCATAGCCACCATCCCATGCGGGAGTGGAACCAGCATCCTTGTTGTTAAGAGCACACGTTCTATCCACTGAGCCATCCAGGCGGCAGCTCAGCTCAAGGTGCCGAGTTCAGTCTTAGTTGTGGGCGGATATAGCCCACCATTGAACAGGTAATCTTGTTGTTGCACCAGTTGAGCTATCCTGCCACCTGTTGGTAGCTCAGCAACAGCTTAGCTCAGGTGCAGCGTCACTGGCCCATGTGAGAATCGAACCGGCAGCCCTGTTGCTCACAGCTCGCGTTCTTAAGCCAACTCTTAACCAACTAAGCCACTTGGCCGGGCCCAGAATTTCTTTCCTTTTTAAAAGGCTGAATAATATTCCATTGTATGTATATACTACATTTTCTTTATCCATTCACCTGTTAATGTACATTTGGGTTGTGTCCACCTTTTGGCTATTGTAAATAATGCTATTAGTATTGGTGTACAAACAACTCTTCAAGTCCCTGATTTCAATACTTTTGGGAATAAATCTAGAAGTAAAATTGCTCAATCATTTGGTTTAACGTTTTGAGAAACTGCCATACTGTCTTCCACAGTGTCTGCACCATTTTACATACCGACCAGCAATGCACAAAGTTGAACATTAATTTTCATAAGTTCTTATTAAACAGTCTATTGTGTCTGTAGATTTGCCTGTTTTGGGAATTTGATATAAATGGAGTCATAATACACGTGCTCTTTTGGGTTTGGCTTCCTTCATTTAGCATAATGTTTTCAAGGTTCGTCCATGTTATAATTTGATGGGCTTTGACCTGCATAATGAGCAGGGTTTTTTTAATCTGCATTTTCTCAGAAAGTTAACTTTTGTCACATTCTCCAAGGAGTGTGTGACTCAACGACGGTACAAGAAATCTCTGATCTAAGGGCCGTGTATAGAGAATTGGGACACTAGTTTGAAAGCCCACTCCTTAGCAAACACTAGCAAGGATGAGAGATTTGTCAGAGAGCAAATCTTTCTGCTAAAGTAAGACCTTGAATTCAGCTGAGAGGAAAGCATGAAGGACTTAGCCTTACCAAAGAACCGTCAAGGAAGGGGCCCTAGGACCTCCCAAAGGGAATAGTGAAGAAGGTCAACAGAATTGACAGGTCACCCTGGTTGCTCAAAGTTCTGGAGCCATAAAGGAGCTACAAACAAAATCAGCAGAGGTTGGAACTAAGTTCCTCTCAGGAGGCTGGGGCAGCCTTAGCCATTCGCCTGGAGGAAAATATTGAACAAAAAGAGAGGCGAGAAAAGGACATGGCTTGGAAAACCCAGAGCTAGGCAAGCCAAGCCAATCTGTCACTAAAAAAGGTAGACTTAAATCTGTCCTCATGATCCCCCAGAAATTTGTTGTTGTTGTTGCTGTTGAGAAAATCACAGCCTAGTCTGAGCCTTTGGTACCCTTGGTCAGGGCAAAGGGGTTCAGTGTGGCTTAGCGGCAGTCCCGAGGGAGGAGAGTCTGCCAAGTGATATCGATCAAGGTAGGTGTATGATCCCCACTGGCACTCTCGAAATAGAAAATGCTATCCCACCCCTGGGAACAGTGTAGTTAAAGAAACAATATTACTTATTTTTAAAAATAAAGACCTAAAGCAAATAAAGTGTTAAGATTCAACAGAGTTGAGTGGTGGGTACACAGGTATTCGCTGTATTTTCTCTACTGTGTGATTTAAAGATCTCATTAAGAAACATATTTGAAGGAATGAAACACATGTAACATTCACTCTGTCAAGTTTATTGAATTTACTGTGTGCTTAGCACTGTCCTAGGTAGTAACATAAGAAAAATTGTAAAACAAGATAACAAGGAAAAAAATATACTCTGCACTATGTTAATTTGCCATCATTTCCATGATGCTTTGTAAAGTGTCCTTAGGTCATTTTGGGGTATGTGGGTCTCCCTCTTTCTCCATGTCCCCCTTCCCGTGCTGTTGAATTAAGTGCCACTATGACCATCCCCTGAAGAACAGAGGGTGGGACAGGAAGAATGGGTTGGTCAGGGGGCAGTCAGGGGTTGGTCGGGGCTGGAGTCGGTCTCATGGCAGGGGAGACATGTTGAGAGGGAAGCCACCAATGCAGAGGGCTTAGGGCACTCAGTGAATCACAGGAAGACCAGACTTGGGGAAGCCACAGAGAGAGCCCTGGGGCCCTCACTCATCCCCGCCCCACCCCCCACTGTGTGTTTAAAGTGCTAATGCTGTAAAAAAATGAAGCATAGCTACATGCTGTCCTAGATGCCACCAGACTTCTCACCTCCCTCCTTTCCTTCTGATTTGTGCTAACACCAGGCACTAACACCACCAGCGGCTGGGCCAGTGGAGAAGTCTAGTGCCCAAGAGAAGGTGGGGACAGAGGTGGCAAAGAAAGGGCAGAGGTATGTGCAAAAGGGACTAGCTTGTGCTTGGCCAATGCCCCTGGGCCAGGGATTGGTTCCTGTGCAAAGAGCAGTTTGGTTCTATAAAGCTAGCAGGGTCCTAAATTTTCCCTGAGGGAACAAAGTTGCAGAGCACGGGAAGGAAATCCAAGACGTGCAGGACCTTCCTTGTCCCATAATCAGGCCTGCCCCCACGCCTGCTGTACAAGGTGCTGAGGAGTACTGGTGTAGGGCACACAGCAGGCCCAAGCCAACAGGGCCATGCCACACTTAGATGATGGATGACCTCTGAACACCTGGGCAAAGAGCTCTATCCACCTGGACATGGACATAACATGCAGGACCCCCACCTGAATTGGAACAAGGGCTTAGGTCCAGCCAGCAGCCTTCCCAAGGGTACCTATGCCCCTGGGGGTCAGATCCCAATGAAACCATCATGTGGATGACAGAGAACACCCCAACCAGGGGGCAAGCAAAAGTGGCAGTAGCATGGTCTCCTCTAGTTGGCAACATGGCTGGGAAGAGGGTGCCTTGGAGGAGTGGGAGAGTGCCCAGAGGCCATGGCACCCTCCGTCTCGCCCTCAGCTCAGAGCCAGATCTCATCACTGCTCACACTGGATACTCGATAGATGTAGCCCAGCATTGGGAGACGGATGAAACCTGTAGGGTCGGAGATGCCCAAGAGTCAGTAACCCTTATCCTTGGAAGTTGCGAGACCCATTTCTGCCCCTGGGGACTCAGAGGCATAAGCACAAGGGCTGGGGAGCAGAGGAGGGTACCTTGGCTGGTGAGGAGGCCGCCGGGCTCTGGGTCCAGAAGTTCTGGCCGGCTGTTGTTCCGAGCCATCTGCCGGTCTGCTGCTTTCCCTGTTGGGTAACAAAGGGGATGGTGCCCATGACAAGTGTGCCTGACAGGGCTTTGCCCCTCCTAAGTACCAAGGTCTCTCTTTTTCTCAGAAGCACCTCTAAAGATAAAGCAGGGGCAAGCAGAGGGGGTCCTGGATGTACCTCTGGGATCCGGAGTGAGGTCGTTGAGCTGAAGGTTGGACGGGAGAGACATGTTCTCCCGTGGCAGGCGCACGTTGTTGAGTTTCAGGTTGTTGGAGTCACTATGGGGCGGACAGAGCCTGAGATACATCCTGGTACCAGCAGGTACAGGTTCCTGCTTTCAGGCCCGCTCCAGAACTACCAGCAATTGCAGCGCCCCACCTGTCCCCATGCTGCATCTCCATTCAGCCCATTCACCCAGCCCCAGTTACCTAGAGATCAGAGACGGGCGCCGGGAGGAGCCTGAGGAGAAAGAAACCACACCACTGTTCTCAGTATGCCCACCCAATCTGGGCTCTGTGCCCCCTGCCCTTTCAGATCCAGGACCCTCACGCAAGGGGTTTCTCAAATGCTCAGCCCTGGCTCTGGGACCAGGGGTGTTGTTCCCAGTGCTCAGTCCTGCCACCTGGGATGTAGCGATTACCTGTGGCTATACCCGGGAACACCTGTCAGAAATGACTTGTTCTGCCCAGCCCTGCTTGTTGTCCTGCTGCTCACCCCGGATCTCGCCTCCACTTCCCCAGCCACCCTCTGCCCCATACCGCTTTGTCCCTACCTTTGGTCTTCTTCTCTTTCCTGCAGACCAGGCAGGCCACCAAAGTGCTGAACGCCACCAGGGTGCCCAGGGCAAGCCCTCCAGCCACGACAATGCCAAGCAGTGGCACTTGCACTCGGGTGGCCAGGAGTCCTGCAGGTCATCCTTTGGTTAGGTTCTGAGTGGGCAGGGCCCCCAACTCTGAGATGCCACAGGTACTAACTACTCTGTCTTCCTTGCCCAAGGCAGCTATAGACAGCTCATTCACAAACATCACCCAGAGGGCAACAAATCCTCCCATTTCTGTGCTGAGATTCCACACCCACCAGAGGCTTTGCTGGGCCCCGTTGGTGGCAGTGCTCACCTGGGGCCGGAAGTGAGGCACTGGTGACACCCACATCATTGGTAGCTACCACAGATAGGTTGTGTGCCAGGCTTTCGAGCTGCAGCTGCACGGTGTGGTTGGTGAGCCAGGGATAGTTCTGGGTATCCAGCACCAGGAAGTTGGAAGTGTTGACAGTCACTGGCCCATCCTGGTCGATCCAGGTCACATTGGCAGGTGGGTTGGCACGCACCAGGGCAAACAGGACAACCAGGAGGCCTTGGCCCTGAGCTTCCTGGTACTTGGCTCCGACCTGGGCAATCTCCGGCTTAACTGGTGCAAAGCAGAGGCCAATATGCTCTCACCATAGCTCCTCATATTCCTTGTCCTTTCTTCCCAAACCCAGAAGGGACCTCTCCCTGAAGGGACACTGGGAAATAGGATGGCTGGGTCTGCCTTACAGGCAGCATTATGTGGTGATCAAGAGTATATACACACTAGAGCCAAAATGTCCAGATTTAAATCCTGGCTCTGCTACTTACCAGCTGTATGACCTCCGCCCCAGATTGCTTAACTTCTCTGCAACCTGTTTTCTCATTTGTAAAATGGGGATAATAACAGTAATTATCTCATAGGATTATTGTGAGGATTAAAGTGAACTAATATTTGGAAAGTGCTTAAGTGTTTGTTAAATGTCCTATCAGACCACCTGCTGGGTGGCTGCTGGGGGTGCCTGGGCAGAGAACCTTTCCCTGCCCACCTCAGGGACACTCACATTGCACATTGAGGATGATGGAGGCATTGGCTGGCCGGCCACTGTCGGGATCTTGCACAGAGCAGTTGAGCTCATGCTGGGCCCGATGGGCAGTGACAGTGAAGGTGCTGGTGCCTCCAGAGAAGGCCTTTCCACCCACACTCAACAGTCTTGATGTGCTGGCCTCCTGCAGCTGACCATCCAGGTACCAGGCCAATTGCGGGGTGCCAGGCCCCCCTGCCACTCGGCAGGTGAAGGCATGACGTTCACTCTCCCGAAGTGCTCGCTCAGCCCAGGCCTGGCCATCGATTCGTGGCGCCAACTCCCCACAACCTGGAACACAGCATGGAGTTCTGAGGTAGGGTTGGTACTGTTCTGTAATCAATATGAAGTCCAATTACAGAGGGGCAGCCAAGAGACAGAAAATCTGGGTTCTCTCACCAGGGACTGTCTAGATCTTGGGTAGGTGGGTGAGGGGAACCGAGCTCTGGTGACTGGGGCCTCATGTGGGTACCCAAACAGAAGGTGCAGGCAAGGAAAGGAGAGAAGGGGATTTGACTCTAGAAGTGCTTGGCCAAGGGATGAAGATGGCGGGTGTACCTGAGCTCAGAAGGGCTGGCAGGAGCAGCAGTGTGTGCGAGAGGGTAGCTGGGCGTGGAAGCAGCGCCATGGTGGCCCCGGCCTGGGCCCCAGGCTGGCGAGAGAAGGGGGTGGGCCTCGACGTTAGGTGAGATCAGGCAAGCTTAGTAATTCCTTCAGGAAATTAACTCTCCAGAAACAAAAATGTAGACTGATCCACAGGGGCGAAGGCAAGGACGCGAACAGCCAAGCCCAAACCCACCCAGCACGTACCTGTACTGTACACCCTGCGGGCGCAGAACTGAGCTCTGACTCTAGGGTACAAACAGGCACACCCCCACAGATACACAGAAACGACTTGCAACCGTGCAGCCCGCCCCAGGCCCAGACACACACACGCCCTTCCCCGAAAGGGATCGTCCTTCTCCAGAAGTGGCGTCTCTCTTGCCCCACTCCTCCTGCCCCCATCTCTGGCCCTACCCCTCTTTCCCATCCTTCTGGTTGCTCAGGCGG